GCTGATTGGTGGATGACTGGGATACGGCGCGGCTGTACCCGTGTGACATGGATGGCGACTGTGGGAGACAAGTGATTTCTCGGGATGAATCCAGCGTCTGACCGCAGATGAGCCCAACTGGCTGGAAGTGTGAATCCTGGGAGTGCACGCCCAGAATTTCAGAGAACACTCAGTCCAGCCGCGGACTTTCCCTTACGATGAGTGCCTAAAGTCTGGCGGAAAGTGTCTCTGGAGAATGTATCCCAGAGTACGCCTCATCTTGCTGTGGCTCAGAGTGCTCCAGTGGATCAAATTACCATGAGAATCAACCCACTACTACCATGATCATGCGCAGGAGGCCGCTAAACCCACTAAAAGTGTGGCTTTGAGGAGATACACACGAGTCTGCACTGCAGCAGACTTGTTACCCAGAGTGTCGCACGGAAACCTAGAGTGCCGCACGATGACCCAGAGTTCACCTCCCTGAGTGCAGGTGACCCAGAGTTCCAAAGATGATTCTCTGGGTTTGGGCCATAAATCCAGACCCTCTATACTGAACTGAAGTGTTTCCCGAGCCAACACCCAAGAATCCCCACAGTTCCCCAAGATTCCTCAGAATCCCCAGGATTTCAGAAGATGACCCTGAGTGTCACCTGGTTTTCAGGGATTCGAGCCAGTTCGAAGCCAGTCTGCAATCAAAATGATGCGTGACCTTGAAGAACCGTCATGGAAGCACAGACTGGATACTTTCGAGGAGTCGAGAGGGAGTCCTGCACCATACTAAACCAAGTCTAAGGACCCACAATTGGCACTTTCGACGCCGTGCGACAATGGATTCGCAAGCCGATCGCAAGATTGGACCGCTGATCCCAAGGTATACTCAAGACAAGACATTTTGACCCCAAGCATAGTGAACAGAAGATATTTGCCCGAAGAAGAGAGAGAGAGAGAAGTAGCTGATAAAAACCAAACAGAGTTCCTTTTACCCTGTACTGCGCAAGTGACTTCGGCCAAGCCTGCCGACGGAAATCCGGAGGACCCGAGACTACGACCGCGGGACGCTAAGGGCACATCAACGGCGAAGGACAGCCGTCTGTGTGGGCTCCATCAAACTCAAGTCCAGTGAGGTGGTGACCAGCGACGGCCTTGAGCTTCCTGGGGTGATCCATCTATTCCATATCCTAATTGGGTCACTTGCTGTGCTCGTGGTAGCCCATTTCATATTATTCCAGAGGGTATTCTGGGGTGCTAGGTAGTCGCCTCCAGGATTTTGTATTGACTGCTTGTGTGATGGGAAGGTAACTGATAGTGATTGTATTTTCCTCCTTTATTGGAGGTGGTGCGCGTTCGTGTGAGTCTCAGGGGAGCTAGGCCCCTGAATTTCAGACTCGAGTGAGCCTAGTGTGTGTGACCCACCGTCCAAGGGTCCAAAAGAATAAGTGACGGCTATTTGTAGTGTTTGTATACTCTGTATTTGTTGGTTTTATCGAGCTAGGAGGGCATTTGGGTAAGGTGTCTTCTGAGTTCCAAGTCCCAGAGTTGACTGAAATCCTGGACCCTGAATTCGTGATATTCTGGGTTTCAGGAGATCTGATTCTCTGGGTTTGCCTTTTGGTGTGGAGGTGCGTTCTGAAGTAGACGTGCGCTCCCGCACTTCTTCGAGGTTACATTTTTAACCGGTGGAGTGCCGTTCCGTCGAAGACAAACGAGCCGACAGGGATTACACAAGGTACCCACGCCAACCAAGGAGTGTGATTCTCAGGGTTTGAAGCTTTGCGGCTGCGAATCTCTGGGTCTATCTTCTTGCTGTTGACTCTCAAGTCGATTCTCTGGGTCTACCCCTGGGGAACAGTCTTGGGCTGCGCTATACGAACCCCCTGGGCGACAAAGGTTTCATCGGCCTCGCCTCACCAGTTGTTTTTGCTGCTTACAGGCAAGCGTCTGCTGCTGCAGCTGTACAAGCTGTCGTACACAGTCAAGCTGTTGGGCTCGGTCGCACTGCTCAACCCGCTGCATTCGTACCTGGCGTTCGAAGGCCTGGGGGAGAGGCCCACTCAGGATTCCCGCGCTCAAGGATTCCGACATCTTTCCGCGTTAATGTAAGCGGCGAAGACGACGGCAGGAGTTGATGCGGTATGGCGTGCTCCGAACAATGGTGTGTTGTTTATCATGTTGTCCTGTATACTGCATTGCATGCAGTTTATTAGACTGATGTTGTATCGTAGCCTACATGAGCTAACCAGATTAATATTGATGCTGTTGAAGGAGACTACGGTGACCAAGCAGTCATGATCAGCCCGAAAACGAGCCGGCCTGAGTGAAGGCGACGACTCGAATGAGGTAGTAGCGAAAAGAACGAGCCGAGACGAATTCCGGCCGAGCCGGAGATGCCGCTTTGGTGTCCATTGTATGACCGATGGGCAAACGAGCCGACACCTGGCATGGCTGGCGCTGCTAATGATAAGGGCGAGAGGTAGTAACGTGAACGTTTGCAAACTAATATAAGCGATTTGGATAAATGCAATTGCAGTCGATGCGGTTCCCAGTATAGCGAGGCTTTGGATACCCACACACATAGTTGTAGATGCAACTTTGCCTTTGTATGCTCCAATTAGCGAAACGGCTTGTAATCGCTGCTTTCCTGTTGACTGGATTGGCAAAGGCATGGCTTTGGCATCTATCAATCTAAGCAGCAGCTAATTGAAATATTCAACTGTAGAACTTCTTGCACCCATGGAGAAACCATGTGGTAAACTACATCCACCTCATGCATGAATGCAGGTGTATCGCTTTAGTGTGTGTTGTTAGTTGGGAAGGGTCCAGGCAACGAATTACTTCGGTGTTGAAGTCAATGAAATTTGACTTAGTGATCAAACGTGGTAATCCTCGTTGCTTTGTTGCTTCAACTACAGAGTGCCATGCTTCTGTCTGCAACGACACATCCAACTTGCATCTTAGGTACTGTCTTCTGTACACAACGGTTACGATTCACCTGATTATCCCCTGGATATTTTTCTGGATGTCTATTTCATTTGATGTTTGTATAGTGCATAGAATGCCTCCGGACGTGCCACAAGCTTACAGAACACCTAGAGGTGACACACCTACTTTGTATATAAGTTTTTGTATGGGAAGTTTCAAATTACGATTTTTTTAAAATCGGGACTTGCTAGGCTCTGCTCTTGTTGCAGCCCAAGGTGCTGTCATTGACTATGACAAGGTCCAGCCGTTCCCTGAGCTCGAGCCCAAAACGATTTCCGAGAAGGCTGCTATCAAGTACAAGCCCAGCCTGGCCATCTGGGACGGCTGCCACTCTTACGCTGCTGTGAATGCGGCCGGCGACACGAGCGGCGGAATGGACCCAAAGGCGCCCGACGGAGGAACGCAAGTGCAAAACCCGTACGGTCACGGCTGCAGGGGATCGGTATTGGGCTCGCAAGTGTACAGCCGATCTGGGTGGTACCGCGACGTTTGGGCCATCATGTACGCTTGGTACTTCCCCAGAGACATCAGTTGGTATGAGGAGAGCAGCCCACCCGTCCGCCATGACTGGATCAACACCATCGTCTGGCTCGACAACCCGGCGCTGGAGAATCCGTCCCTTCTCGGAGTCTCAGCCTCCCGGGAAGGCGCCGTCTACGTGACCTATCCTCCTACCGTGAAGGGGTATATGAACGGCACCCACCCCAAGATGGAGTACTACTTGGGCTTTATTGTGGGCGGGTATCACACAATTGATGTGTCGTTGGAAGCGGGCGACTTTCAAGACCTCGTCCATTGGTCGCAGCTGACGGACCAAGCGCGCAAGGCTTTGGAGACTGCGGACTTCGGTGTGGTCACCCCCGTCCCCTTCAACGACGTCAACTTCGAGAAGAATCTAGAGCGGGGCTGGTATCAGAACGAGACGATCCTAGGCCACAGGATTGGCGACTTCCTGTAGTTGCCCCTACACACGATTCGAAAGCTGTACTCGTTATCAGAATACTGCAGGAAAAAGTAATTTTGAGGGTGCATTTGGCTACCAAGTACGCACCGATTGCCAATCAGCTTCCAAAACTGCCTAAAGTACTCTGCAATCCACTCTCGGACTAGATCCCAATTTGGAAGACTCGCTCGCAGGTCGTGGCGGTGCAGATACGAGGCCCGCGTATCGCTACGTGTATGACGTACGGTACCGGTACTGACCGCGAGTGTACACATTTTCGAGGACCCCTCCGGATCGATGAAGCCGAAGTGAGGTTAGATACTACTTATTGGTGATAATGTTTTCGCGATAACATAGCAAAGTTGCTGTTGTGCAGCAATTGTAAGAAGACATCGCAAGTGCAAGCAATCGCCTCTAACAGCGCTTTCGACATAGGACCAAGTCAAACTGAATTGTCACCAATGCGCGATAACCGCACTGGCAGTAAAAAGAAAAGTTTTAATTGATTTTTTATTTTTATGGTACTCTCAATTTCTGTAGGTAACAACTACTAATTTTTACTTTATTCATTTAACTTGCGTTTTGTTGGTGACGGAAGCGGGGCTGGCGCAATGGAAAGCGTATCAAACTTCGAATCTGGGGGTTGCGGGTTCGAGTCCCGCGTTCCGTACATTTTTGCAGTGCAAAAGTGTGCAATATTTGCACGAGTACGTGCACGGCCTCGTCCCTTGCGTCGACTGGCTAAATGCGTTCAAGTGCACGCGCACACTCGCCACGCTGTACCATGGCAACAAAACGCTTCCCGATCCGTATGGCTCGGTGTACCATGTGATCCGAATTTAAGGCCGAATTTAGAGTTGATACTCCACACCAGCAATTGTTTGGGCTGTCAGTGAAGATCGCGGCTCTTGGTCCAGCGACTGTTCCAGGCGGGATATCTCTCCCCCATGGATATCAACCTGCGACGGACGGCGGCCACACAGCCAGCCAAGATCTTCTCTCTCTCTCTTGTCGATGCTTTCCATCGTCTGCATCGATTCGCCACTTCTCGTCCCGAGTAGAAGGTCGTCCAAGTCCTGCGTAGCGTCGTTTCCAAATGCTTTCGAGCCCCATCCGGCTCTTCCTCCCGCTGGCGGTAGTCGCCACCGTATTGTTCGGTGTCTCGGCCGACCCCGAGTGGTGGCTCGTGCCGCCGATCGACTGCCAAGTCGGGCCCTGGGGCGACTTCAGCGGCTGCTCCGCCGCCTACTCCACGGTCAAGACCCGGCGCCGCAACGTCGTGGTCTGGCCGCTGTTCGGCGGGGCGCCGTGCCCTGCACTGGAGGAGTCGCAGCCCTGCGTGCGCGTCGACTGCCAGGTCGGACCCTGGAGCGCCTACACGTGCAACCCTTTCACGGGCTGGAAGACGCGCTCGCGGGTGGTCACGGTCCCGCCGCAGGACGGAGGCGCCGCCTGCCCCGCGCTCTCCCAGAGCGTACCGTGCGACCCCATCAACTGCGTCGTGAGTGACTGGACGCCGTGGAGCACGTGCCTGCTCAAGGTCAAGTCCCGGGCGAGAACAGTGCAGACGTTCCCGCTGTACGGCGGCTCGGCGTGTCCGTCGCTGGTGGAAGTTCAGGCTTGCGTCCCCGTGGACTGCGCGGTGGGGACCTGGAGTGCGTTCAAGATCCTGGGCACGATCAAGACTCGCTCCCGTGAAGTCACGTGCCAGCCAGACGGCGGGTTGCCGTGTCCTCCGCTCGTCGAGCAGGTTCCGTGCAATCCGGTGGACTGTGTCGTGAGTCCGTGGGTCTGGAGTGGAGTGTGTGACCCCACGACAAAGCTCCGAGGACGGACGAGAACTATCACTACTCAGCCTCAGGACGGGGGCAAGGACTGCCCTGCTCTTCAAGAGACTGTGACGTGTGTGGACTGCGTGGTGAGCTCCTGGACCGACTTCTCCGTCTGCAACCCGCTGACGGGCACCAAGACGCGTTCCAGGACGGTGGTCACTGCGGCGGCTAACGGCGGAGCTGATTGTCCAGCGCTGGTGGACACTGTCCCGTGTGATCCTGTTCCCTGTGTGGTGGGGAATTGGACGCCGTGGGGATCCTGCGACCCGAAGACGCTGCAGCGCCAACGCGCTCGCGTCGTGGTGACGACTCCGTGCTACGGAGGCGCCGCCTGCCCGCCGCTCGTCGACACCCAAGCGTGCGTTCCTCAAGACTGCGCAGTCAGCGATTGGAGCCCGTTCGAGTTCTTCGTCAAGGACACGGACGGTCTCAAGTACAAGCGCCGCTCGCGGTCGGTGATCCGAGCGTGCGACGGCGGAGCGGCGTGTCCGCCTCTGGTGGAGGAGGTGCAATACCAGCCCGTGGACTGCCAAGTGAGCAAGTGGGTCTGGGACGATAACGGAGCTGGCGCGTGTCCTCCCGGGAACCAACGAAGACGTACTCGCACAGTTGTGACGCAGCCGAAGGACGGCGGAGCGGCTTGTCCCGCCCTCGTGGAGTTAGTGGCTTGTGGAGATTGCCAAGTGAGCGCCTGGAGCCTCTTTGGAGCTTGTGACGCTGCCACTGTAACTCGCAAACGGACTCGGACTATTACTCTGCAACCGGTGGGTGACGGCGCTGCGTGTCCTGTGCTCGAGGATCGAGCTCCGTGCGAACCGGAACCGTGCCAAGTGAGTGACTGGAGTTCGTGGGAGTCTTGCACGGCCTCGAGTGTTCGTCAGCGCACGCGAACCATCGTGAGCCCAGCCAAGTACGGCGGCACAGTGTGCCCGCCTCTTGTGGAGAAGCAGAACTGCAACCCGACCGACTGCCAAGTGAGCCCGTGGGGGCCCTACGAACTCCGTGGGGCCACAAAATGCCGCCGTAGAACTGTTCTACGCGAAGCTGACGGGGGTAAATCGTGTCCAGCTCTGAAGGAGACGACGATGTGCAAGAAGGTGGATTGCGTAGTGGGCGAGTGGGGCCCCTACTCGGCTTGCGATCCTGTGACGAAGCAGCGCTCCCGTTCTCGCGTAGTCTTGACGTCTCCTCAGGACGGAGGTGCTGCATGTCCAGCCTTGGTTGAGGCGGTAGCCTGTGCTCCCGTGGCCTGCCAAGTCAGCGACTGGGGCTCGTGGAGTGAATGCTCCAAGACGAGCGGTAAGCGGACACGCCGGCGGACTGTGACGACGCCTTGCGCCCACGGAGGCGCCGAGTGCCCCACTCTCATTCAAGAGGAAGACTGCCAACCCGTGGACTGCAAGGTGAGCGACTGGACCGCGTGGAGTGGATGCAACGCGACCACCAAAACCCGCTCACGTCGCTGCTCCGTTATCACTCCGGCGAGTTTCGGAGGCGCGGCGTGCCCCAAGCTCGAAGAAGTGCAAGCGTGCGTGCCCGTCGACTGCAGCGTCAGCTCCTGGTCCCCGTTCACGCCCTGCGACGGCGACGAACAGAAAGAGCGACGCTTCCGGACTGTGTTACAGCAACCCGATGGTGGCGCTGTGTGTCCCCCGCTGATGGAGGAGAGGCCAGCGCCGAAGGTGGACTGCGTTGTGAGTGACTGGAGCGACTGGGGCGTTTGTGACCCCAGTCTTCTTGTGCGCGTGCACAACCGGTCGGTCATCACCCAGCCCAAGAATGGAGGGAAGTGCTGCCCGGCGCTCCAAGACTCGCAGTCTTGCTGTCCTAAGCGCGTGAACTGCGAAGTGGGGGACTGGTCGGACTACTCAACGTGCGACCCAGCGTCGCGCACTCAGACTCGCACTCGCAATGTGACTCAAGCTGCAGGACCTGGCGGGAGGGCGTGTCCAGATCTCCAGCAAACCCGCAGTTGTAACCCGACCGTTGACTGCCGCGTTGGCGACTGGAGCGAGTGGAGCTGCTGTTCCAGTCGCAAATTCACTCGAACACGCACGCGTCCGGTGCTCACTCCACGATCGGGCAAAGGCGCCGAGTGCCCTTCGCTTGAAGAGACTCAAAACTGCAGGCCAGTAGACTGCTCGGTGGGCGACTGGGGGGAGTGGGGAACCTGTGATCCTAACACTAACACCAAGACTCGGTCGCGGCGAGTACTCCAAAAGGATGACGGCGGGAAATCGTGTCCAGCGTTGACGGAGACGAAACCATGCAGTAGCAACGTCGACTGTGAAGTTTCCTGCTGGGGGGACTACGGAGCTTGTGACGAAGCCACTTGGACGCAGACCAAGTCTCGAGCCATTCTCGTTCTGCCGAAAGGCAATGGAAAGGCGTGTCCGCCGCTCACTCGGACGGATCCGTGTCCTCCGAGGAACTGCAAAGTAAGTGGCTGGTCTGAATTTGGCTCGTGTGATGCCAATGGGAAGCGGAAGCGGACTCGCCAGTGTGAAGAAACGCCGCGCGGGGGAGGAACGTTGTGCCCACCGCTCGAGGAAGTGACGGAGTGCAAGGCAGTAAACTGCGGCGTGACCGTGTGGGGGCCTTGGAGCGACTGCGATGCTGCCTCCAACACCCAAACGAGGTCTCGAACGGTCCGAGTACAGCCGTCACACGGGGGCAAGGCTTGTCCGCCACTCACGCAGACTCGGAGCTGCCAGAAGTGCCTTGTGAGCGACTGGGGGGACTGGTCGCTTTGCACAGCAGACACGCCGACGCGATCGCGTACGCGCGCCGTTGTCCAGCAGCCGCCGCCTCCGTCTACCTGCGGCAACTCTGAAATGGACGAGATCGCCGCAGAATTGTTGTGTCCTGTGCTGAAGGACGAGCAGCCGTGCGAGGCCATCAACTGCACGGTGAGCGACTGGGGTGACTGGAGCGACTGCTATGCGGACGACTACGGATACGTCAAGACTCGGAACCGCACTGTCGTACAGCCAGCAGTGCGTGGCGGTGAGGAGTGCCCCGACTTGACTGAGACTGCGGTTTGTCCCCCGGTGGATTGCTCTGTTGGGAACTGGTCGGACTGGACTTCGTGTGGACTGAATAATGCCACCACGACTCGATCTCGTCCAGTGCTCGTCCCTGCTGCTTACGGAGGCGCCGAGTGCCCGTGGTTGAGCGAGTCGTTGGACTGCCCGTCCATTGACTGCATTCTCAGCGACTGGGATGACTGGAGTGTGTGTACAGACTACACGCCGACTCAAACTCGCGAGCGCTCCATAGTTCAGAATGCGGTTCGAGGTGGTGCCGAGTGTGACGTACTAGAACAGACCCGGGCGTGCCCACCGGTCAACTGCGAACTCAGTGCTTGGAGCTCGTGGGAGTCTTGCAACGCAAAGGCAGGAACCAAACGGCGGACGCGTGAAGTGGCACGATCTCCTCAGAGGAACGGCACAGCCTGTGACGCGCTCGAGGACTTGGCGCCGTGTGATCCGGTGGATTGCGTTGTGGACCAGGATTGGGGCGACTGGAGCGCGTGCGATCATACCTGCGGCAAGCGCTTCAAGCACCGGTCCATCCTGCAGCAGCCTCTGTATGGCGGTGCTGTTTGTGCCCCGCTTGTGTCAGAAGGACCGTGCGAGCCTGTAAACTGCGCGGTGTCTGCCTGGAGTGACTGGAGCGACTGCAACGCCACCACAGGCAACCGGACGCAGACCCGAACCGTGACCCAGAAACCACTGTACGGTGGATTGGCGTGTCCTCCTCTCGTTCAGCAAAAACCCTGTGACCCGATCTGCTGTGCAGTGAGCGAGTGGTCGGAGTGGACGTCGTGCGATACGGACGACTCGCATCAGCACCGCTATCGGAATGTGACGCAGCGGCCGCTCTATGGGGGCAATCCGTGTCCCGAACTCACGCAGGACGTACCGTGCGCTCCGATCAATTGTGCGGTGGGTCCTTGGAGCGACTACGGACTCTGCAACGCCACTACCGGCCTGCGTACGCGCACGTGTTTAGTGACCCAGACTCCACGACACGGAGGCACGGAGTGTCCTCCTCTCAATGAAACGATAGCGTGTGATCCAGTGGACTGCAAGGTGAGCGACTGGGGCGACCACGGGGCGTGTGACGCCGTGACGTTCAAGAAGACGAAGACTCGCACTATCGTCCAAAAGCCGCTGTACAACGGCGCAGCTTGCCCCGATCTGTCGAACGACGTGCTGTGTGATCCAATTCACTGTGTGGTAAGTCCTTGGGGCTCGTGGGAGAGCTGCAACGGTACTTCGCAGACCAAGACTCACAGACGCACAGTCACCACGCAACCGAAGTACGGAGGAGACAAATGCCCCGCACTCGAAGAATCAGCGTCCTGCGACCCGGTGAACTGTGTCATGGGCCCATGGTCCGACTGGAGCGTCTGCAAGAGCGACGGAAGCGACACCAGCTCCGTTCGAACTCGATCGATCGTCCAGCCAGCGCTGTATGGAGGCTTGGCGTGTGGATCCACCCGCGAAGAAGTTCCGTGTGGTGCCGTGAACTGCGCAGTGGGCAACTGGACGAGCTGGTCAACGTGCGACTCGAGCTGTGGCAAGAAGTCGCGCACGGGTCAAGTCACGCAACGCGCTTTATACGGCGGAACTGCGTGCGAGGCGCTGGAAGAGATCGCTAGCTGCGACCCCGTGCATTGTGCAGTGGGGGACTGGGACGCGACGTGGTCGGCGTGCGACCCGCTCTCAGGACGACGGACGCTAACTCGGTCGGTACTGCAAGTTCCGCTCTACGGAGGTACGAGCTGCCCCGAAACTGTACAAACCAAGTCGTGTGATCCAGTGGACTGCCAGGTGGACGACTGGGACGATTGGGGCCCGTGCAACGCAACCACAGGGAACAAGACACGGTCAAGACTCGTGAAGCAGGTCGATTTGTACGGCGGATGCAGGTGCCCCGAGCTCACACAGGAAGCGCCTTGCGATCCGGTGCCGTGCGTTGTTGGGATCTTCAGCGACTGGACTAATTGCACAGACGCGGATGCCACCAGGTCGCGCACTCGACAGATCACGCAGAACCCGCTATACGGTGGCAAGGCTTGTGAGCCGCTTACGGAGACGATCCCTTGTCCTCCTGTGGACTGCGCGCTCGACACGTGGGGGCCCTGGAGTGCCTACGACCCACTCACGGGCGTTCGGATGAGAACTCGAGCAGTTCTTCAGCACTCGGTTCGTGGCGGTTTGGCTTGTGGCAGGACCAGCGAGAACGAGACAGCGATGCCCGTCAACTGCCAGGTGAGCAACTGGACCGAGTACGGGCCGTGCAACGACGTCGCCGGGGTGAAGACTCGGTCTCGTCAGATCGACGTTGCTCCGCTGTACGGTGGACTCGTGTGCCCCGATCTCTTCCAGAACGCAACGTGCGATCCTGTCAACTGCGTGGTGAGCGATTGGAGTGTCTGGGGCGCCTGCGATACGAGCACCGGGAACAAGACGCGACACCGTGATATCCTGCAGCAGGCCAAATACAATGGCGCCGCTTGTCCTGAACTAACGGACTCAGCGCCATGCGACCGCGTGGACTGCGTCATGAACGAGTACGGGCCGTGGACATCCTGTGACCCCGTGTCTGGCAGCAAGACGAGGACGCGGACGATTCAAGTCGCGCCGATGTATGGAGGAAGTGCGTGCCCCAACGCGACAGAGCAAGGCTTCTGCGAGCCCATTGACTGCAAACTCAGCGACTGGAGCGCCTTTGGAGCCTGCAACGCCACCTCTGGACTCAAGATGCGCACGCGCACAGTGGCGACGCAGCCGCTTTACGGCGGTGCGGCGTGTTTGCCCCTATCGGAGGCTGCAGCTTGTGACCCCGTCAACTGCGAGGTTGGGTCCTGGGGCTCGTGGTCAGCGTGCGACGCTTCCACTTCATCATGGACTCGTACGCGGAACGTCACGATTGCGCCGCTCTACGGCGGACTGGAGTGCCCCAATCTGACGGAGACGGCCTCGTGCACTGTGGCAACGCCAGTGAATTGCGTAGTCAGCGACTGGTCCGCCTGGACCAAGTGCACTTCGAGCACTGGTACACGATCTCGGACGCGCAAGGTGGTGACTAAAGCGAGCAACGGCGGCACAGCCTGTCCGGCACTAACCGAGAAAGGATCGTGCCGCGGCCTGGAGTGCACAATGGGGGAATGGAGCGACTGGATGACTGGATGCGACGACAACGGCCTGCAGACGCGCACGCGGGTGATCCTGGACGATCCGTACGACTGCGACGACTGGTGTCCTGAGACGATCGATTACCGCACGTGCGACTACAGCGAGGACACTTATGACTACGCGCCGCCCGAGGAGACCGGCGAAGTCTACGTCGACGGTCAAGTTGTTGCGCTGGAAGCGAAGGCGTTCTGAGGTGGTGAGAAGCACGCTACTAGTTGTTTTATTTGGTTTTACGTAATAATGTAGAGCTATGCTGCGCTTTGACCTGTGCTATTGACTTTCTTGTCGGTAAATCGCTGTGAAATGCTGGCAGTGAGAACCGTGAATAGGACGATGGGGTGGAAGGAGAATCAGTGGTGTTGACGTGTGAGATTGTACTCGATGGTTGCCTGCAGGTAAGAACATTGTCGAAAATACTGTGGCGCTGCATGAGATCGTACTCGTCGTACTGCTACAACGCGCTTCCTAATTTTAATGCACAGACAACCATCTTGTGCTTGCCATTACCGGCGGTAAACGGTTGTAGACGTCCTAGTTGCGGTAAAGTTGGGTAGTACGATCCCATTCAGTCCCAACGTCATTAAACTAGGGCAGACATTTGCTGTTGCCAACGAGTACAATCTCACACGTCAACACCATTTATATTTTACGCGGTCGGGTGCCCAGCCTCCAGCCTCATTCACGAATTTTCCGCCGACAGCGCAAGTCCAACTCGATAGAAATGAAGTTTTTCTCATCCAGTCTCGGTCTTTTCCTCACTGTGGCCAGATTTGCCCCCACTCGTGGCAGCACGGTGACTGTCACGGAGCTCAACGAAGACCCTGGGTGCGAAGGACGAACCACCGCCGTGTACGCGACGATCACACCAGGCACGTGCGCTGAGAATGACAAGGCTGACCACTGCACGACAGAGAACGGCTGGGGCCTTCTCAGCTCTGAGTACACGTTCTGCGAGTTCGACCAAGCAGCGTACCTCCAATATGCGTTCGCCACTTCCTACTACGTGCTAGTCGAGTTTTACTGGGATACTCCGTGCGAGAACCTGTGGCACACCGTCGTGCTCCTGGCCGATGGCCAGTGCCACCAAACCGTCCAGGAAACGATCATGGTCACGACGGACGCAGAAGGCACGCTGTACCTGCAAAACCGAGGACTTGACTGTGATCGCGGACTGTGGGGCAATATCACCGAGCCTGTTCCCAAGGCGATGGTCAACTCAGGAGAGTGCTTCGTGGGCAAAGACGTTAGCAAGAAAGTGTACCTGGTCGATGGCACAGCTGCAGCGTCGTCTTCCGCCTCAAGTAGCGCCTCAAGCTCCAGCACGAAGACGAATATGAACACCAACACCACTGACACCACTACCGCAAACACCACGACATCTTCGTCAGCAACTTCGATCTTGCACACGATGCCGTATGCGTCGGTGTTCACAGCTATGACTGTTGCTGGCGCCCTCGCTGCGATGTGTTGATGAAGAGAAAGATAGAGAAGGCCAAGAACTTTGCACAGCTACAATAACATGAACTGCATTAACATGAAACAGCAAAAACGTACCAAAAACTCCCTTCACGTCATTCTTCAACTAACAAACAAGCAGTCGTCCGTCTCCGAGCAGCGCTCCCAAAGCACTGCGCTGGCCTCGCGACGGCTGCAGATAGCGCACGACATCCATGTGTCCATTGGCAGTCGCCCACAGTATCGCGAGCTGCGTGAATCCTTCCTGCCTTGCTTCTCTGCAGAACTGCACGACCCTCAAGTGCCCGTTCTGCGCCGCTCTGTCGATGGCGGCGACCGTGGCGCCTTCTGAGCGATGTCGGTGCAGGAACTCCACCACCTGCAGATGCCCCTGGGCCGCGGCCAGGTCCATGGCCGCCGTGGTGCAGCCCTCCGAGCGGTGCGAGTGCAGGAACTCGACCACGTCCAGGTGGCCCTTGGCGGCGGCCGCGTCCATGGCGTAGCTCGTGCAGCCCTCGGACCGATTGAAGTGCAGGAACTTGACCACGTCCAGGTGCCCGTGGGCCGCCGCCATGTTCATGGCGAACGTGGAGCACGAGGCGGCGGCGCTCGCGTGCAGCTCGAGCACGACGTCCAGGAAGCCGTTCTCCGCCGCGGCGTTGAGCGCTCGGACGCTGCAGCGCACGGGGCTGGAGCGGCGCAGGCGCAGCAGCAGCCGCACGACGTCCAGGAGGCCCGCCGCGGACGCCGAGTCCAAGTCCCAGGCGAACGAGGCCACGAGCGCCACGAGGTCGACCGAGAGGCTGTGGAGGTGCAGACCCAGCTCCATGCTACAGTTGGCTGTGACTAGTTGCATGTAGCCATCTATGTTGAAGGATCCGGTGCGGCGGCCTTCTATATTCTGTGGACTCGGTAATAGGAAACAGTTTCATTAATACAGATTGTATTAATACTTATTACTCCTCGGAATTGGTAATACCAGTAATATTTTACGGTTATACTTCCAGAAGCCCCTCCGAACCCGCGCCGGCGCTATTTCAGTGCATGCTCGCGCACTTCCACTCTCTATACGTCCTCCGCGGTGCTATTCGATACCCGTCGGACCGCGGGACCCGCGCGAGGGCCCGTGCCAACGTCTACCACGACCTTAACAGAAATTTCTATCTAAATGCAAAGGGAAGCCCCCAAAAATATTCCCTGCCTATGTTAATTAAGACCAGTGCCGCGGGACTACCAACTACATAGCCACATCTTCAGGTCGCGCTACGCTTGTCTTGGCTGCCTCTGCAACATAAGGACCGTCGTATGAATACTACCAGAAAAGTCGTATTGATAGAGCCCCAATTTTCTATTGCGGGTTGCGCTGTGCTCTATCATTCCGATAATGGTGATAGTACTGCGACAAGGCGAAAATTGCTATAAGACACGGTAGCATTTACATCATTTTATAAAACACGGTAGAAAATGACTGATCGACGTGCGCCGTGAACGGTTCGGCTTCTCCGAGACGGCAAGCACACAACGCAAACCTCCAGCAGCAGCAGAAGCCCGACTTCCAAACCAGTAGCAGCATGCCCCGCGACCGCATCCCTACCCACTACACCAACCGCTTCAAAGCGCGCGCCGTTGAAGACTGGCGTGCTGGACGCGCTAGCGGCACGAGCCGCAGAGCGTTTGTCGAGTCAAGTGGCTTCCCCCGCCCTTCGCTGCAGAACTGGGAGCGCAAGTACTCCCGCCTGACCCAAGAGTCCCAGCGTCAGCCTCGAGCCAGCCCCTACCTCCCTCCTGTTCCCTCCCGTGATTCCCGCCTCACGCTCAGAGGCAGCGGCCGCAAGCCAGACACGGCTCCGATCGAGGACACATTGTGCGTGTTTGTCAAGGATGAGCGGCGGCTGAGCACATCGTAATGGTAGATTTTATCATCGACATGGCTACAGAGCTCATGCCGGAGGTGATGGGGCCCAAAAGCCCGGACGCCAAGAAGTCCTGGCGCCAGCGCTTCCTGCGCCGGCACCACCTCACCATTCGACGCATCTGCCACTCAGGCAGCAAGACTCTAGAAGAACTGAAAGCTCTGCGGCTGCCATTTGTCGAGGAAGTGACTGAGGTAGCGACGCAGCATTGTATCTTTGACCCTAATACTAGCCTCACGGTTGTACCTGCACTGTTCAATATGGACCAAACGTCTGTGTACTGGGACATGGGTACGAGGCCAACAGTGGAATTGTCGGTGCCCCAACTGTGCGCTCAACCACAAACGTGAGTGAAGGTTACCGATGTACCATGGCGCTTACCGTTTCGGCAGACGGAAGAATTTGTCCGCCACACTTTGATTACAATGGTGCCCCCGGTGGAAACGTCGAGATGGAGCTGAATAAGTTTTGCTTAGAAGTCGTGGCTACATTTTCGGTGCAAGAGAGCGCCTGGTTTGATGAGAGAGTGATGTTGGAATGGATTGAGAAGTGCTGGAATTATATCGTTGTAGAGCCATCAGTCCTCATACTCGATAGCTTATCGGTACACAAGAAAGAGGAAATTGCCGACGCTTTGGCGTGTACGGGCACTTCGGTGCTATACGTACCTGGGGGCTGCACCGGTGTTGCGCAGCCTCTCGACGTAGGCGTTATGGGCCCTGTCAAGCAGCACATTCGTCGTCTCAATAGCTCGCGTTCCGTCGGACGACTGAAGACTGTAACGCCTGCGTTTCGTCGGCATCAGATTTTCGAGCGTGCAATGGAGGGGCTTCGTTGTGTTTCCGCCACGACAGTTCAAAACTCGTTTCTAAAGGCAGGCCCTTTCCTGCCGTATGGGCCTCCAAATAATGCTGCCAGCGCGCCTGCCCCCAAGCGCAGCAACCATGTAGACTACACGGACATTGTAGAAGAGGTAACTGTGTAAGCACTGTGTAAGCACCGCACCGTGTTTTAATACGATGTGCATTTTCCCTACATTGCGTCCTGTCGTGACCTCGTCTGTGCATAATATGGCCTTGAACTATTTACTAAGACAATGTGCTAGGTGCTCTATCTTTCGGGGTGCTCTATCAATACGACTTTTCCGGTATGAAGAAGGTCTTCAATGCAATTCGGATCGTCAAGGTGATAGGAACGCTTCAGCGTTGAACTGTTCTTATAGACTCGCCACCGGCGAAGCCGAGCTAATGTGGGCCACATAAATTTGTACTAGCATAAAGTATTACCCAAAGTATTATTGTGCCTTGCATGCTTTCTGTCTAAACAACGACGTAGTTCGCTGTTTTAGCAAATCACGGTGATTAGCCCATCATTGAGTTAGGAGGCTAACTCGTCGATTTAAGATAGAATAGCTGCTAAGACGACGAGTTAACGTTGAGTTATGCTCACTTTCGTTGAATGGCTGGAGTAAATCCGACAATTCAACGGCCCTGACATTCTAATTCTAACTCGCTCGCTTTGCCGGATTGCTTTCTAGTCGATGATTGACATGCGTTGGCGATCTATCGCGTAGAAAGGCTCCGTCCCGATTCGCACCTCGGCACACCCACTAGACACCCACCACCAGGCTCCCGCCGACCGTAGCTACGGCAAAAAGGGCTCGTTGGCGCCAAATGAAGGTGCCAATCGTATCGCCATGTCGAGACGCATCCAACGAGCCATTCCACACTGCCTACCACCGCGTAGAAAGGCTCCGTCCCGATTCGTACCTCGGCACACCCACCATCTACAATATTGATGAACATCCCTGTTTTTATATCGAGGAGCTGCAAGCAGCTTTAAAGCCAGCGTTTCCTGCACTACCAAACATTTCTTATGTTGTGCTCTGAAATTCGAGCTTGGTTTAACGCGCAAGGCCCCGACGAAGGGAGCGAAAGAAAACGCCCCCGCCGAAGCGGTGCCTACTATTATGCAAGGAGTTGGCGCCATTCTATCGGGGACCTTATCAGTTTGTTTTCTTGCAGCGACAACCGATTTATTCTTGCAGTGGCAACCGCTCCATTCTTGCTCTGTGTTGTGCTTGGTACTGGCGGTTGATTAGCTTAGCTTTAACTTAGAGTTAAAGCAAAGTTCGTGCAAAGCACAATAATACAATCTGTATTAACTGATACTTGTTTTCTATACGAAAGTATTGTATAACCGATATTTATATCAGACCTCCAGTAGGGCCAGTAATAATAATACCATGATTTGGTCGATTATCTAACCTCTGGTCGTGACTTGACTCGTCACGAGTCGCAACGAGCTGTCGTTATGCTCTTGAACGGCTCGTGCAGGTCACTCACTGCATGGTTTTCACATCCATGAAGGCGGCATTGTCATCTGACGTCACGGTATTTGCTGCCTCCTCCTCCAACATCAAATCGTCATCTCTCCAGCAATGGAACCGAGGCGTAAGACGCCACTACACGCTGCTCCTTGGTCAGCGCGAGTGGGTATGTATGGCCCCGGCGCGAAGTGATCACCTCGTCCGACTAGCGCGAGGCGAAATGCGACGGGCGCCGTCCGATCCGTCAAGTGGCAGCGCTGATGCGCTCTGGAAAGTGGCGCTCGAATCCTGCCAACCCGCAGCCAAGCACTCACTTGTGCAAGCACCGGGCAAGCTCTTGCTTCAACGAGGACAGACCGTCGCGCACCGCCTTCCCTCAGAGCCCCTGTTTCGCCGTCCGCCTACACGCAGCAGCCACTGCGCGTGGCTCCCTACAGCTACAGTTGTTCGCCCCCAGCGCAGCAATGCAGGGCGAGGCATGCGGCGGCTCCACCTTGGTTCAGCTCGCGGAGCCCAGGAATTTCGTTCGGTCGTGAAAACGTCACGATTTCCCTTCCCCTTGTCCCTCGCGCCGTCCCCATCAACAATTAATAACCTAGATAAACGCAGCTCTGATTTTTCGATATCCAAAGTGAACGACCCGCCAAACCGTATAGCCCTCCGATTACGAACATGGCTACGGTCCAAAGAGAAAAATAATCGTCGCCCGGGCTCTGCACGATGGCGTACCGTCACGTCGTCCGCTCGCGGGCCCCATACAACGCCCCAGCTGGGCACTCCGCGCCGCAGCACCGCTCGCTGCCAGTTCCTCTCTGTCGTTGCGTGCGTCTAGCAGTCAGTCCGTCAGTCGGTCAGTCAATTGGGCTCCCAGGTCTTCCTCGATCCCATCGGGCCTCTTCCTGCCGCCGTCACAGCATCCAGCCGCAGCTGACTGGATTTGCTGCGCGCTCCCCCCCTCCGCTCAGAGACACAAAGAAAGTCTCGAGGAACCTTCGCCCCTCATGGCCAATCGGCAACCTCCCGGCCTCGGCGCGCTGCCCGAAGACGCGTCCTACACGCAGCAGACGCCGCTGGCCAGCGAGTACACGTACGCGTCGGAGCAGCTCTCGACGCAGGCCGCGCCCGCCAAGAAGCTGCTGAGCCAGCAGACCATGGACACGCAGACGGCCATCAGCGAGCTGACCAAGGCCAAGGAGCACGAGGACCTGGGCAAGATCACGGTGCACGGATGGATGCACAAGCAGGGCAGCCGCAAGTTTAAGGGCCCCGTGGCCAAGAGCTGGCGCAAGCGCTACTTCGCGCTCGAGGGCGCCAAGATGTACTACTTCCACACGGACGTCGACTGCCGCAAGTACTTCAACTCGCGCAACGGCGAGCTCGTCGTGGGCGCCGTGGACCTGCGCGACGCCTTCAAGCTCGAGCAGAGCGAGCGCCTCGACCTGCCCGCGCGCGGCATCGTCATCCACACGCGCCACCGCGCGTGGCTCGTGTGCCCCGAGACGGACCAGGACTTCACCATGTGGTTCGACGCGCTCGAATTCACCGTCATGTCGGCCGGTTCCGGCAACGTCGTCAAGCGCGACCTGCCCAACGTGCGCGTGTACGAGATGAAGGGCCGCTTCAGCTATCGCTTCTGGTACGGCATCTTCGTCATCACGGCGCTCATCGAGCTGGCGGGCATCGTGCTTTGGTTCCCGCTGGGCATCGAGCCCTGCGACGTCAAGTACAAGACGGACACGTGCGACGAGATCCAGCTGGTCTATGCCGACACGCTGCAGTGCGGCGACAAGCCCTTCAACGGCGTGTGGGACCCCCCGCAGTGGTATCACTGGTCAGCGGGTATCGAGACTGTGCAGTGCTTCAAGGAGCCCCACATCGGCGACTGGGTCTCGTACTTCCTCTTCTACCTGGCCGAGTTCATCAGCATCTCGCTCGGGTTCCTCTACTACCTCGGCATGTGGAAGCCCGTGCGTCGTGGCGCGCGCTACCTGCGCGATTTCGAGCCGCACTTCCCCCCGGAGAAGGTAGGACGAACCTACTACTACCTTTGTTGTTATGGATCTGTACTGATGATTATTGTGTGTTGTTTGTTGTCGTTGTTGCTGCTGCTGACTGTAGTGGCCGACGGTGGACATTCTACTGTGTCACTACGCCGAGCCGGCCGAGGACACGATCGCGACGCTGGAGAAGATCATGAACCTGGACTACCCGCCGCACCTCTTCCACGTCTGGATCTGCGACGACGGCTACTGCAAGTCCAAGTGGGAGCCCGGCGCCACGGTGCCCAAGGTCAGCGTGAACTACGGCGTCATCGAGGACGCGGGCGACGTGCGCCACGAGGTCGCGCAGTTCATGTACGACCGCGTGTGCGAGTCGTACGAGCTCGAGGTGGACGAGTGGCGCAAGGAGCACACGACCGTCAAGATGCCGACGTCATCCAACCCGCGCATCGTGAACCGCGTTGACTGCGCTGTCGGCTCTGTGCGTGACGACTACCACTACCACGGCCTGCCCAAGCTCACGTTCGTGGGCCGCATCAAGCCGCCTGTGCACCACTCCAAGGCCGGCAACATCAACAACGTGCTCTACAACGAGGGCGCGTGCGGCCGCTACGCCATCATTCTGGACAACGACATGAAGCCCCACGAGATGTTCATCCAGGCCACGCTTCCCTTCTTCTTCGACGTGCCGCAAAACTCCAAGATCACGCGCTGCTGCGCGCCTGGCTGTGGCGACATCGGCAAGATCTGCTGCGCGCTGTGCCAGGCCGCCGGCGTGCCGGAGGCGCAGATCATGTACTGCTCCAAGGACTGCTACAACGCGTCGGGCCACGTCAAGTCGAGCGTCCACCGCCGCCAGACGCAGAACACCATGTCGGAGCGCATGATGTGCGCCAGCTGCGGCAGCAAGATCAACCAGAAGAAGGGGCTGTGCAACAAGTGCAACCGCGCCGTGAGCCAGCGTGGCAGCAACCAGTTCGTCGGCGTGTCGGCGGACGACTACTCGGACCACGTGTCGGTGAACCAGGTCGGCTACGTGCAGACGCCACAGTACTTCGAGGACTGCCTGCAGCTGCGTCTTGGCGACCCGTGCGGTCACCGTAACTCAACATTCTTCGATTCGGCGCAGACGGGTATGGACGGCTACGACTGTGCCTCGTTCGCTGGTACCAACGCTATCTTCCGTCGTGAGGCTCTGGACTCGGTGTGCGGTATTCAGTACGGCTCGCTGACTGAGGACGCCTACACGGGCAAGATGATGGTGGACAAGGGATGGAAGGGCTACTACTTCCGTAAGGACCTGGAAGGTGAGGAGGCTGACCGTATTCGTCTGGCCGAGGGCGCCGTGCCCGAGTCCGTAGCTGCTGCTCTGGCGCAGCGTAAGCGTTGGGCCAAGGGTAACTTCCAGATCTTCCTGCGCAACAAGAAGAGCCTCGTGGACCCGGAGTGGACCCCGCCGCAGGTGGAGCTGCCGCCCAAGCGCAAGATCAACAAGTTCATGCGCTGGGTGTTCTTCATGAACCTGACGGTATACCCCATCGGCTCGTTCCCGGCCATCTTCTTCTTCTACATCACGGGCTACTTCCTGTACACGGGCCAGGCTCCGATCTACACGTCTGGTCTGCGTCTGCTCATGGCCCTGGTGCCCAAGATTGTGGCGCAGAGTATCCTGTCGGCTCTGTCGAACCGTACGGTGGACAACGATGACGTGCTGCGTAGTCAGCAGACGTGGTTCTCGTACGCCTTCGTGCACGTGATGGCAGTGTTCGAGACGATCTACTGGAAAATCACGGGCAAGGAGGCTGCGTGGGCCAACACGGGCGCGCTGGGCGGCAACAGCATCATGGAGCTGCCGAACCTGCTCGTGTTCATGGCCATGGTCTTCGGTATGATGTGGGACACCGTGCGCTACTTCGCGGGCTACAACAACGCGGCCACGACGCACGGCACGCCGCTGTACTTCGCGTCGCTGTTCCTGGGCGGGTTCCTCGCAAGTCAGCTGGGCCCCATGGTGCGTATGAGCGTGCAGACGTACTTCGGCTGGAGCCACAAGAGTATGACGGACCAGGGCAACATCGTGGGCAGCTTCTCGCTCGCCTTCGTGCTCGTCATCCTGTGTATTTGGGTGTACGTCGAGACGCCCAACCACTCCATCTTCGGGTAAGTGGTCGCTAGAGGCTAGGGAGGCACGCGGCCTAGTACCGTGTCGCCTCCACTTGAAATACGTCTAGCTCGCTCGGTTTTGCATGCATTCAGGACGTGGTTGTTTGATATCATCCGGCGACGGAGCAGAGCGTGCCTTCATACTGTAGCGCCGCCCCGAGCCTAACTCTGAAAAAAAATACAGATCATGGATAGATCCGCGATTCATAACTTCACTACAGTATGACTTGCAGTACACCTACACGTCGCCAACTTTTCATCGAGGAGTTGTAGGTTTCCTTCCCATCCAGCGAGTCAATCGTCGTGATAACTCGCTCCTTTGTCGTCAAAAGCCACAAATATGATTCATGCTCAATCCACGTTACATGTATGCGTTAGCTTCCATGTTGCACCGAGGCTGAAGGCACACGGACAACTGAGAGCAGACACGTCTCCGCCAGCAGCTCACTTTGTCTGCGACACCAGCACTGCTGGCAGCAGGGTCAGAGTGCAGTTGCTTACATTGTTTACAGTCCATGCCAGAAAGTCATAGAGCTCGAACGCCTGCAAATGTACGGAGGCAGTGTGCTCGAGATGGGTGCAATGCCTCGGAGAAATTGGCAGCCGCGTCAGCGTAACGTTATAGATCGTCCCTACTCGCTCGAGACACTCATTCTCCAATTCGCCCTCCGCCAGCAACATCGATCGGCCTTTGCTCTCCAGACCATGAAGTTCCTGCTCCCCGCCACCGTCGCCGTCGCCGCTTTGGCCTCGTCCGCCAGTGCTCAGCAGTTCTGCGGTCGCGACGACAACAAGGTGGTCGGAGACTACACCGTGTACAACAACCTGTGGGCCGAGGAAAACGACCCCAAGGGCGGCCAGTGCACGTAGGTGACCGGCAGCACCAGCTCGTCTGTGTCGTAGCAGACGAGCTTCAACTGGACCGGAGACTCGTGGCAGGTCAAGTCGTTCGCCAACGCCGCGCTCAAGTACGCCCACGCAGGTATCGGCGATCTCTTCAATCCCCACGAGCACCGCCTACAATTACACGTACGACGGCAAGATCATCGCCAATGTGGCGTACGACATGTTCACGAGCTCGACCGAGAGCGGTGATATCGAATACGAGCTGATGGTGTGGTTGGCCGCTCTGGGCGACGCTTGGCCTTTGACGTCCAGTGGCCAGCCCATCAAGACCTTCACTGCCGGTGGTGTCGAGTTTAACCTGTACCAGGACTGGAACAGGAAGGAAGGTCAAGGTCTTCACGTACGTCGCCAAGCAGCAGGCCACGAGCTTCACGGCGGACCTCAAGTTCTTCTTCGACCAGCATCCCACCGACAACAACTTGCCGACGACTCAGTTTCTGAGGAAGGTGGAGGCCGGCACGGAGCCGTTCCAGGGCCAGAACGCCACGATGGTCGTGTCGTCCTACTCAGTGCAGGTCAAGTAAGCTACCGAGACAAATCTACAGACTCATCGACGGTACCTCAACGATGGGATGCGGGCAGAGAATCGGTCGTAGACAAATATACTAATCAACCTACTTCCGAATTCTCTGAAATTTATCTCAGAGTTTGGAATCCCTGGTGACCAGTGGAGTGAAAGAAGATGCATACCCCGACTAAGATGATATTTGAGGTAGCTCACACCTGACCAATGGAGTGAAAGAAGATACATACCCCGACCAAGATGATATTTGAGGTGAATGTTACCTGTGGCGGCAAGTTGTGTGGAGCACCCCAAATAGCTACATTCGAGCGACCTAAGTCGAAATTTCGCGTTAACCGAACGGTAGAAAATACATTACCGGGGTGGGTGCGTGGTCGTAGCGCTAAACATCAGTCATGTTGCATCTTTTGATGGACAGAGTACGACTTCACCGCTTCGCTATCATGGTTGTTCTCTCACATTCCACTTCGCGTTTGACCACTAAACCAAGCACTGAAACTCATCACTAACCGAACTCTCTACCCGTTTTACGCGGTTAGCTACGACAGCTCACTGTATTGTGTCGTATCCCACCCTATTCGGGGTCGTTAAAGTACGCCGCGGCTGAAAGGATTTAGGAGGAGTGCGAGGAGTCGAAGCAGTAGAAGTAGTCGAAAGAGTAGGGATGTAGAATGAATGAAAGTTTTGCTTGTTCTTGAACAGGGTAGATTCACGAGTGAGAGCTAACTATGAAACTGACAGGGTAGCTTGGTCTTCGTGAGGGTGACACCCCTCCTGGACAGCACGGGGTATCTCTTGCCGTGTCCTCCATCCTCGGACGTGACAACCCCTCTTCTTCGCTATACACACCATTGTCCACACCCGTCCTGGGTGGTCTTCTCGGCTTCCGTTGACCGCAGACACGGCGCTCGTCCAGGTACCTCGCACGTGGACCTTCAACGCATCTTCCCCATGCGCTGTTGGTAGCCGCTTTAAGGTACGCTAAGCGCGATACCCAGCAGCGACCGGTCCACCGCGACACAAGTCCGTCGGACCCCTGGTACGTGCTCCAGATACCCGGGTACGGGACATACTCCCCGACTAGAAGTTCGAAGTCCTCGACGAGCGTCCGGGTGGCGGGCGAGTTCCTGACGCAGAGCAGCGGAGCGATCCTCAGCAGCTCGTAGTGGCCGAAATGGCGGCCGGTGGGGAGCGCGGGCTTCCATGTCCACGTGCACTGCTGGTTCCACGAGAGGGTCTTCGAACGAGTCCTCAGCAGCCACGTCGTCGCCCTGCAGGCGACGCAAACTCTCAGCATCAAACTGCTCGCGCTCGGCAGCGTGCTTGCGTAGATCTTGCAGTCCACCGAGGACGATGGCAACGGGCGAATACGGCTCCAGCTGCGCCTTGGCGTCGCAGCCGCGCCAGAGGTGCGTCGTGATGCCCACGGCCACCGTGAGCACTGTCAGCGCGGGGCCAAGCGGCGTCTACGCGAAGTAGGAGTTCAGCAGGTTAGCTGTGATGAGGACGAAGGCCTCGCCTGGCACTCCCAACGACACGTACTCCAGTAGATCGTAGGTGCACATGGGCACGAAGAACGCCAGCGCGAGCAGCACTTTGCAGATCAGGAAAGCCACGTGAAGCACTTCGCCTGCGCGTCGTCGACTCGGCATGGCGGCGTCCTTGGACACGGAGGCGTACTTCGCCACGGAGTGTGCCGTGTTCACGCTCAGCTCCGGTAGGTAGGCGTAGAACGTGGCGTAGGCGGCCACCCACCACTTGCGCAGCATGCGTCCGTTGTCCCCGTAGCGTTCCTCGTCATCGGCCAGTTCGTTACTTTTCCATTCGTTCTTCGTGCTCAGGAACGCCAAATCGAGGGGAAGCACGGGGCCACGGCCGTACAGGCTGAAAAACGGAGAGTCGCCGAGGACTTCGTGGTAGGAGGTACGGTAGGCAAATAGAACCCTAGGTAAATAGAGATCCCAATCGCTTTGAGCTTCCCTCACAAACATCCGTAGCATTCCGATGAGAGTGCCATTGAACCTTTCGACCAGCCCCTGCGTATGGGGGTGGTACGCAGCGCCAAACAACTTCTTGATGCCGAGAGTCTCGTAGAAGGACTTAGCTAACTCCGAAATAAAGTTTGATCCACGGTTGCTCAATAGTCGTTCCGGTACCCCATGTCGACAAAGCACTTCGTCCACCATCACCTTGACAAACGGAAGAGTGTCCAACGCCTCCACTGCAAACGCCTCGACCCAGCGCGTGAAGTAGTCGGCAAAAACGAGAATGTACTTATTGCCACGAGGAGTAGTAACCAGGGGACCGATGGCGCCCACCACGAGAAGAGAGAAGGGCCCAGAGAGGTCTTGGACAGCCATCCGCTGCATCAAGCCGTTCCTCTACGGACGGTATCCTTTACCACTGCCGCATACCGTGCACGACCGCACGTACTCGGCCACGTCTCGCCTCCACCCATGCCAGTAGGCGTGGCGACGAACCTTGTCGGTCGTCTTGATTTGCCCCACGTGAGCAGCGAAGATATCCAAGTGACAATAATGAAGGACGGTCTCGATGAACGGCAGTGGAATCACCGGCACGCTGATGGAGCGAGTGTGGCCGCCCCTTGCCTCCAGATGGACTCGTCGAAGAAGTATGCCGTTCCGCACCACATAGTGTGGCGCCATCTGCAGCACTTTCACACGCAGCTGCGCGTCCAACGCCAAAGCCCCGTGATCCACGGCGTCCGTCGTTGCTCGTCGATGAACCGTTCCCGGTCCAAGCCGAACACATCCACAGGGGACGTCGCATTTCGCTCTTCCTCGGGCGTGCCTTCGTCGGGGACGGCGGGGGCAGCATCGTCGTTCTCGGGCAAGTCATCGACAACTGGGGCGCCGTCGGCGGCGTCCTCGGGGTCCGTCTCGGGATTCGCGGAGGGTGCGGGCGAGTCGTCGTTCTTGTCCGTGGTCACGCTGGGGTTCCGCTCCTTCGGGGCAGCAGACAAGTCAGGGGGATCTCCGACTTCGGCAAGAGCATCTCGTGCGGCAAGCAGTGCTTCCTCCAGGGCACCTCCGTCGGCGGGAGATTTCTTCGGGCCGTGCGTCTTGCGCTGCGAGGGGCGCTCCCCGACTTCGCTAGGAACGTCTCGGTTGGGGCGAGTGGTCTCAACCGAGGGGTTCTCTTCGGCGGCCGCGTCCGTCGTCGGATGTCGTTCATGGTCCGGCAGGGCGCTCTCCCCGACCTCGACGGAACCACCATCGGAGCCGGGATTGAGCAGGTCGTTCAACGAGAGGGCGCAAATTGTCGCCGCATGCAGTCGCGAGAGCCCGTCAACGTGGCCCATCGACGTACCGGGTTTATGGTACGCCTTAAACCTGAGCTGCGAGGCTCCATGGCCCAGCGCGACAGCTTGGCGTTGCTGGTACGGTTGTTCTCGTCGAAGACCCACGTCAGAGCATTATGGTCCGTGTAGAGATCAAACTCGTTGCGATCTAGGTAGCAGCGAAACTTGCGGGTGGCCCAGATGATGCCCCAACACTCCATCTCGGACGTGCCGTCCATCTTATTGATCCAATTGCGCTCAGAGCCGACCAGCAGCTTGCTGGCGTACGCCACCGCGCGTTCCCGGCCATCTAAGGTTTGCATGAGGCAGGCTCCGACCACGATTCGCGAGGAGTCCACGTAAAGTTTGAAACGCTTCGAAAAGTCCGGGTAGACGAGGATTGGAGGTTCGACGAGCTTCCGCTTCAGCTGCAGGAAGGCGGCTTCGCAATCTTCAGTCCAGACGAACTCGGCCCACTTCACCTTCAGTCGTTCCATCGGGGCCGAGATTGCAGCGTACCCGGGAATGTACCGGCGGAAATAGCTGGTCAGGCCGAGGAACGCTCGGACTGTATGTAGGTCGTAGGGCCGGGCCACGTCCATGACGGCCTTGACTTTCTCCGGGTTTGGCAAGATGCCCGAGGGAGGCACGATGTGGCCGAGGAACGCCACCTGGTCGCGGCCCCATCGACACTTCTTCAGCTTCAACTTAAATCCGGCAGCGCGGAAGCGTTCCAGGGCCTGTTTCAGCCGTACCAGGTGGGTAGGGAAGTCCGAGCTGAAGACCACGCAGTCGTCGAGGTATACGAGGCAGGTGCGCCACTTCAGGTCGACCAACACATTCTCCATGAGGCGTTCAAAGGGCGGAACGGCATTACCAACCACTCGAATAGACCGTACTTGCAGGTGAACGCGGTCTTCTCGACGCTGTCGGTGGCCTGTGTACGTTCCAGTAACCAGAAGCAATACCATAGTAGAGACAAGCTTCGCCCCCTTCAGTACGTCCAGAATGTCATCAATAAGGGGCATCGGGTAGCAGTCTTCCACAGTAAGAGCGTTCAGTCGCCTGTAATCAATACAGAAACGAATCCCGTCGTCATGTTTGCGAATCATCAACACGGGACTGGCCCACGGGCTGGTCGACGGCCGTATCAGGTTGAGTTCCAGGTATTGTTGAATCTCGGCTTCCATGACGTCTCCTTCAGCGTTCGAGACGCGGTACGGCCTGGACTTGAACGCCGGGTGCGTACCCGTATCGATCGAGAATTCCAGTAAGTTGGTACGTCCCGGTCTCATGGAGGACTCCACGAACATATCGCGGAACGTGTCCAGCAGGCCGCGCATCAGCTCCTGCTGCTCGCTGTCCAACTTCGAGTCGGCGAAGCCGGCCTCGTAAGCCTCCTGCAGTCCAGGCATCGGCTCGGACGTGGGTGCGGGCGCTGTCGCGGACGCGATCACGGAGTCAATCCACTCGGTCTTGGCGTCTCGAGACGGCTTGTCGGCACTCACAGCGGGGCTCGAATCATCCTTCTTGAGCTTTAGGTCATCGAAGGCCGACTTAGGGACCACTGTGGCGGCTGCCAGGGTCGTCCCTTTCCTGATCACGAGCTCCTCGGAGGTAGCGTTGCAGATCCCCACGAGCGTCTTGCCACCGTTGACCGAGCAGAGCGTCCTGGCGACCTTCGCCTTCGAGTCTAGCCCCGGTACGCCTTCGATCAGCACGTTCGCTCCTTCCGGCGCCTCTCCGGCGAGGTCCGACACCACCAGGGCCTGACCACCCGGGCACAGTCGTACTGACGAGGCAATCCGCGACACATACACCTCTTCGACTCTGGGAGAGCCCGGCGGGAACGTCTCGCCGGACTCCTTCAAAGTCATTATGTTTTCGTCTAGGTCGATGACGGCGCGGAACGCCTTCAGAGTGTCCGTGCCCAGAATTGCGTCGACATGCAACCGGTCGATGACCACGAACCCGCGCAAGTTCTCCAACGATCCCAGTCGGAGCGGCAAGTCGATCTCGCCTATGATGCGGAGCTTGTTCCCCGAAACACCGTTGAGACCCCCGTGGTACGGGCGGAGCGACGCCTTCGAGAGGCCGAGCCTTGCCAGCACACGCGAGTCCACCAACCTAGCCACTGCGCCCGAGTCGATCAACAAGTCGGCGGGCAAGTTCTCGATGTACCCGGCGGAGACGGCCTCCACCCCGCCCACCGAGCAGATCACTCGCTTGCCGTCCGGCACCGGGCCACGAGCGTCCTCGGAAGCTTCGGGGTCTTCATCGTCTTCGGCGACGGTGTCCACTTCGACGAGTCCTGGTTTGCGCCCGGGGAAGTCCGTCACCACGGACACGTAGTGCGAGATGTCGTCCTCGTTCACCGAGTAGGAGAGACTCGCCCCGAGGGCCTCCGGCCATTCCGCGACTCCCAGCCCGCGCTCCTTCAACTCACACCGGAGGGAAGTGTACATGTCGGACTTGAGTCCGGCGGTCGGGAACCCCACCGTCACCATCAAGCCGGATGGTACGGCGATCCCGCCTAGTCAGCCTCTTGCTCCTGATCTCGGCGGCCTCCTCGTTGCGCAGCTCCAATACGCGCCTCACGAAGGTGTCCATGACTCGGTCGTCCAGCACTCCGGCGGCAGCGACCACCAAGGCACGGACCTTGGCCTCCGGGTCCGCCCCCGGCGCCGGCGACTCGCCCTCGTCCTTGTCTTCGTCCGCGATCAACGAGTACGCCAGCGACCGTACTAGCGAGCGAAGTCTCGGCGGCAACGCCGTAGGTGGATCTGTCGCGGGTTCCCCTTCGGGAACGGGCTCACCGAAGGTCACGCCAATGTTCTGTTCGACCACCGCTCCCGTCAACCGCGGCAGCCGGCTGGGGTTTATTCCGCCTCACTTCCGTCGCCCACGACGTCGGCGGCTTCCGCCTTCTCCGGTTCTCGGGAATCCGTTCGGGTAACCGAGCTGGTCACCTGCGTTCCGTTCGGGGCGGACGGCTCGCTGCTAAAGTCGCGGTTAGCGTGCTTGGCGGCCTCGGACGCGGCGAGTGTCTTTTTGAACCACTCCGTCCAGTACTCCGGGGACGACACGGCGCCCGGCGACGACTCGCGCGTCCGCTGTAACGTCTCCACCGGTAGGCCGAGCTCCTCGCTCAGCTCTGCAAGGGTTGGTTCCTTAGTTCGGGCGGCGTTCATAGCCCTCTTCTTCTTTAATTCGATCTCGTCTAGCGGGTGCAGCCGTTCCTCGATCTCCTTGTCGTACTCTTCCTTCTCTTCCGAGGCCACGATGGGAATGCCTCGTTCCAGAGCATCCAGCTCTTCAGCGGTGAACACTCTCGCATGGAGTGGCGGAGAGGCCACGCCTTCACCCTTGTCGGAGTTCTGTTCGACCGGCGGGTCCGGGACATTATTGTCCTTCGTAGTTTCATCTAACAAGCCCTCCTTTAGGGCGATTACACCCAGGTCAGTAGTCGTTCCAGGCCCTCCAATCTCATGGGGAGCGGCATCGATAACAGAATGGTCATGCGTCGACGCGTTCTCAGGAACGCCAAGTTGCACTCGGAGGCTCTCTCGCTCTCCGTTCTCGTCGGGTTCCGCGGGGGAGCACCCTTGCTCACCGTTCTCGTTGGGTAAGGGGTTCTCAGTTCCATATATTTCGAAGTTAACGTACTCGACCTTGGACGGCGGCGCGTCGCGGCAGTGGCAAGCAAGCCCCAGGCACGCGTCGTCGTCGAGGTTCTTGGCGCAATCTTCGTCTTCGTATCCAGGGTTGGAGGCGAGGACTTCTTCGCTCGCTCCGTACATCGCCGTCGAGGCCACCTCCGCGAGGGGCTCCGACCCATGCGTCTCGTTGGGGTTTTCTTCATCGTCTTCGGTCTTCTTCTCGTCCACATGCACATACAAATCTTCTTCTTCGTCCTTGGCGGGCGCGACTTCCAGTACGCGCTCACCTCCCGGTACGCCTCGGTCGGCTACGACCGAAATCACAACGGCCGTAGTGGCGTACCTCCCGGTGTCGTTCCTCAGGCGAGAGGAAGGAGCGACGCTCCCCTCTCCTCCTTCGTGCCCTCTTTATTGATGCGTCGAAGTGCCATCAGGAGCAGATGCGCTCGCCTTGGCTCCTTGCGCCATGACTTGTTGGATCGTCTTCATTAGGGGACACTGCGCCGCGATGTGCTCGGTGCTCCTGCAGGCCCAGCATTCCCGGGGTCCGATGGAGCGGCGGCTGGGACTCATGCCCCCACCGTTCCCTCGCTTCGATTGGGGAGCCTCACACTCAACGCCGATGTGTCCGCGCTAGTTGCAGTACGGGCACGTCGCGTTCAAACGGCGACCGTTGATCCTTCTGCAGCCCAACAAGTGACAGCGCCCGCACACAATACGCCCGTCCTGCGTGTACATGGCCGGCCCCTGGCGTATGCCTCGGACCGGAACCTGAGGAGCAGGGGTCAGCGAGTTGGCAGTGTTAAGCATCGCGCTCGAGGCAGCCTGGTCGTCGTAGGTGGCAGCGGCGTACCCGGAACGCCGGGGAGAGCGGGAGACCTGGGCCAGCTCCTGCTGCTGCTGTAGCATGAGGATCTGTTTCTGCTGGATAAGCTGCAGTAGTTGCTTCGTCTTGGGGTTCTCAGGCTTCGCCGAGGCCTTGGGCTCGTCGGCGAAATCAGCGTCGGCTTCGACGGGCAAGTGGATGTTCTTGTAGAGCAGCACCGACACCGCGTGATCGATGGTACTGATCAGCGACATACTCAGGGCAGCCTTCCACTCCTTGTTACTCAGTCCTGAGAGGAAGTACTGGTACCGAATGCGAGGATCAACGCACTGAGCTTCGTCCAGAGGCCCTGGACCACGTCGTCCCAAACCTCGGCCGACGTGCCTCTGGAACGCTTGGTATTCTTAAGGCGTTCGATCATCTGGAGCGGCGCAAGGCAGATGAACTGATTGTAGAACCGTACTCTCAGTGTCGCGAAGTCCTCGATCTTGGAGTTCGTCCACCAATCCGTCCCAGGTTTGCCCTTAAGGCACTCTCGGAACGCCCTGAGGCGTAACTGTTCGTCCAGGCCCTCGGTGGCCCTCACAAACAGGTCTCAGAAAGGGAATGAGCTTCACGGTGTTCTTGATGTATGATGGTAAGCCCACCGTGCTCGCCATGCCTGGGGCGACTGGCCCAGCGTACTCCCTACGTACTGAGGTGTAGGTTGGGGCGTCACGCCAGGCGCCCCCACACTTCCAGGTAGGGCCGAGGCTCCCGTGCCTGCCGCGCCCGGCGGGTCTACTAGGGAGTAGCCACCATACGAGGCGATGGCCGGGCGGATCCGTGACGTCGGGTTCGGATTTGGTCGGGCTCCTCCAGCCTGAGGAGTCTGTACCCAGGTCGGCACGGCAGCGGTAGCGGGGGTGGGTACCCTTGCGTACCCCATCCCGCACCGTATCCTGGGGCAGTCACGGGCACCATCGGAGGCGAAGGGACTCGCAGCTTGGGGAGTGACGTATGAAGGCGGCGGTACACTACCGTCCGGGGACTGCGCCGTACCCCGGGGCCCTCGTCGGGGCAGCCGGAACGCTTGTCCGGGTCGGAGGAGGGACAGTGCTCACGGGGGCGCTACCGTAGCCCCCCTTGCACTTGGAGCCGTTCCAGTACTCGGAGCAGCCTGGGTAGGTCGGGCGACTTGGGTCGTCGCACCAGCCCACCCCAGACTGATATGCGGGTCAGAATGACGGCGCGTGACCTCCACGGCGCGTTGGAGCACCGTCCGGGCCGCAGCGAGGCCCTCCGGCGTAGTCAGATCGCCGCTACGCGGCGGTAGTTATGCGGTTAGCTGCAAGTATATGGGGCCGCCCACCTCCGCTTCGCTCCGGCGGGCTTTATCCGGTTCAAATGCTTATAATTTCAATTGTGGGCACGTAAAACGTGTTGTGTTAGAAGTACTGTTACATAGTAGAGTTACGTAGCTGGCATCATCAGCTTAACCAATATTTCCACGTTAGAGTTAATGCAAATAGATCTATGTTGTTGTACGGTACGGTGTCGTAAAGCGTGTCCACATCGCCACGATTTATTAACCCGACTACAATTTGTACTTCATGTAAGTGTGATCGAAAGAAGCAAGCGGTTGCGAGGTCGCGTAGCCGCAGCAAACCCGCGCGGTATTTGCGGAGGCGGGCCCAGCGCCGAGCATTCTAGCGAGCGGACACGTTGCCGCAACTCAGAGTTAGTTTTCTTTATGCGGGGGTCTGGGGGTGCAACCCCCAGCATGCCTAGAATGCATGAAACCCGACCACAGATCAGGTCCGTTCTGTATCTGACCACAACGATAGGTTACCGTTTCCGTTATGCTGATTCCGTTTCCTGAATGTATATCCGTCCAATAACACGGTTATTGAAGGAATCTCGGCGTAAACTGTGATAATAATCTCCCGCTCAGTGAATGTCAGAATACATGTATCTACGGCCCCACTAACGCATTATCCTACCGCTACACACTGTACCTGCAATATATAAACGGGCTTCAGCCAATGGAGCTATATGCCCTCGTAACATGAACGCTAAGCACCGCTGCAGCTATAATATGTCCATCCCTAAAGTATTACAGTAAAAGTGTTCTGCACGTGTTAGTAATAATCTGTGCTTCCTTCCACTACGTGTACTCGCAACTTGAGATTATGCGGGCGAGGCTTGGTAGTCGAGTGTTGGTTAGGAAGGAAATCCGAAAGTGAATTAGAATGAGTTAAGCAAAACTGCTTTTAGGATTCTGTCCTACCGTGTCTTACCAACGAGTACACGAAGTCCTAGCTTCTAACTCCCCCCCCCCCAACATGTTTTGTGGAGGCTGCGAAAACTAAATGTCGATTGTGGTTGCAGATCCCATGCAAACGGCAACTTCAACTTGACCTTCTCTCAGCCAATCAGAATCACCAAATCCGGGGAACCAGCCAATCACATTGTAACATACAGTACAACCGTACGCCTTGGCAACAACTCCACAGCCGCACGTGCCTCGATACGGAGTCGCACAACTAGACTGCGAAGTGTCCAATCGCAACACCCCCACTCAATTCGCAATCTACCCGAGTAAGTCAGTGACGTTACTTCTCTCGAGCAGGTAGCGAAGAGTCTTCGTAAACAATCCCTTCGTCAGGAACTCAGCGAGCTGGTTCTTGGAGTCGATGTACTCCAGTTCAACTTCACCAGTCGCAACCTTCTCGCGGATGAAGTGGTATCTGATGTCGATGTGCTTGGTGCAAGGCTGGTAGCCGACATTCGTCGCCAACGCCATGGAACCTTGGTTATCCTCGTAGATCACCGTCGCCTCGGTCTGCTCCGCACCCAAATCCCTTAGCAGCAGTCGCATCCACACCACCTCCATGACGCATTCACTCAGCGCCATGTACTCCGCCTCTGGCGAGCTCAACATCGTCTTCTGGAAAGTCGAGCGCCAAACCACGGGAGCACCACACATCGTCAGCATCAT